TGGGAGTTGAAGTCCACTCATCTTAAAGTGGCCAAGTTTGGACAACACTGCCTTAGGCAGATGAGTCTTTGGAGCAGGGGTTTTCAACCTTGGCGACTTTCAGATGGGTGGACCCTGCTGGCTGGGGAATTCTGGGAGTTGAAGTCCACTCATCTTAAAGTGGCCAAGTTTGGACAACACTGCCTTAGGCAGATGAGTCTTTGGAGCAGGGGTTTTCAACCTTGGTGACTTTCAGATGGGTGGACCCTGCTGGCTGGGGAATTCTGGGAATTGAAGTCTACCCTTCTGTAAGCTGCCAAAGTTGGGAAACACTGCTCTGGAGAGAGGGAGTGTGCAGAAGACAACAGTGGTAATGCTGGCACTCTATACAGGGCTGTTGAAATAATTAGAAATGTCTGTCTGCTGATCATGACTAGACTAGTCTTCCAGTTAAGCTCAGCTTCTGGTGACTTCATGGAAACGTCAACGCAGTTTCTTGGGAACAGTACAGAAATAGTTTGCCATTGCCTTGTTCCGGGATGTTGTTCAAGTACCCCTCTCACGGATTTGGGACTTACTAGTGGCCTCCCATCCAAGCGAGAACCAGGCTGGACCTTGATTCGCTCGATAAGGAGAGCGGTGCTTTTTTTTTTCCAACTTCCCCTTATCCTGTCTCACTTCAGCTCTGCCCCTCTATGGTGGTCTACCATCCCAGCCCTGGCCAAGAGCATCTCCGTTTAGCTGTTCTGAGATCAGCCAAGATTGGTGGACTAGACTGGTGCCTCGGAAAGTACTCGTCGTGTGCTCTTTTTTCCTCGCTGGTTTTGTGTGTTTTAAGGAGGAGAAAAGGAGAAGCACAAAAGTGAGGAAGAAGAAGAAAAGGTTCCTTTCGCGCCTTCCCCCGCCCGCGCACGCGGGCTGGAGCGGAGTGACTCTTACGGCGGCGGGACTCGGTACTTCCGCGGCGCTACATAAAAGGCCGGGGGACGGTCGGGGAAAGAAGTCGAAGCGGCGAACCAGTAACGCGCCGGGTGCGTGGCCCTCTTCAGCTGCATCAGCTGCCGCCGCTTCTCTTCCCCGCGTCCTTCCTCCGTGAGACTTTCTCTCGCCGCCGCCGCCGCTTCTCTCCCGTGCCTTCGTCCTCCTCTTGGGCTGCGATGCCTCCCGATCTCAGCGGCTACTATCGCTTCGTGTCTCAGGAGAATATGGAGAATTATCTCCGTGCCTTGGGTAAGCGAGCCGTCCCGCTTCTCCGTTTCGTTTCCCCCTCCCTGCCTCCAAATCGCTCCCCTTCCGTTTCCGATGTTGGCGAACGCTGAGGGGGTTACTGGGGCAGAGTGCTCTCTCAGCTCCACATTTAGGTGACTGCCAAATCCCCCGTTTTAGGTGGCTAGGAATGTAAATATTGAAATCTAGGCAGAGTTAAACTCTGGCACCTCTCTTTAGTTCCAAAAGATTATGATACTCGCCTCCTCCTGGTACTTTCCTAGGCACCAGGCTAGTCCACCAGTCTTGGCTGATCTCAGAACAGCTAAACGGAGATGCTCTTGGCCAGGGCTGGGATGGTAGACCACCCTGGAGGGGCAGAGCTGAAGTGAGACAGGATAAGGGGAAGTTGAAAAACTTCCTAGACAAATGCCCTGGCAAACCGCTTCCATCTTACCAAGAAAACTGCAGGGGTGAGTCCCCATCATCGCCAGGAGCAATGCCTGATTCAAGGAAGTCTTCCCCTTCCCCAGCAATTTGTAAACAGTATCAGTTAATATTACCAACCTAAGATCGTTGTGACTCCAAAGGAATACAGCCCTTTTGAATGCCGCCTTATAGATGTGGGAGAGAAATCCGCCTGGATCAATTCCTGGCCGAAGTGAGATTTGAAGGGGGATTTCCTGATTTGTAACTCAGCCTTTTATTCAGTGCTCCATTTTCTAAGGCAGCTTGGTGAGAAAAGACGTAGTTATTCAAACATCTGTGTCAAAAGAATGTTTTGCCCTTGACTCATGTGTGTGTCTTTTACTGTGTTGGCTGCCTTGGATCAGGGCGGGGGGGGGGGGAGGAAGGGAAAGGGAGGCTTAAGTTTAACCAGGAGAATTGCATTCTTCTCTCCATCTTCCTTCATCACTTGGCCAAAATGAGGAAGAACTAAGGGAGTCCTTACAGCCAGAAATGGATAGCAAGGGCATTGTTTCATGCATTGCTACCTGTTACTTATTCCCGCTGCCTTTGGGGTACTTCCCCCCACAGAGACACCATCCTCCAGCCCCTATTCGACCTATGGTCTTGTCATCTCCTGCTTAGATATCAATGTTGCTCTGAGGAAGCTGGTTTGTCTACTGAAGCCGGACAAAGAGATCGTCCACACTGGTAACCATATGACTATTCGCACCTTAACCTCTCTGCGAAACTACGTCATGGACTTTGACCTTGGGGTTGAGTTTGAAGAGGATCTGGGACCCGTGGATGGACGCAAGTGCCAGGTAAGAGACAAAACCTTTGTCTGGTGAACTGCAGGAAGAAATCGGTCCTGTGCTTATCCACAAGAAAGCGCTCCCAGGTAGAAGAAACACATTGTTTACATTGAAACCGAGTTGAATTGCATCAACCAAGTTCTTCAAAGGCTGGTTTTCTGCCTACTTTCCAAGCAAGAGGGAGTTAATTCATACATTGATTCAGTCTTATTTGTGCAAGTAACCCAATTTTATGGGTGGTCAGTTTACACCAGGACTTTTAAAAATACTCTGATGAGCAGCCTTTATGCTGGGCTGCAGAATTTCCTGCTCCCAAAAACTTTTTATATATTTTCTCTCATGAAAAACTGCTCACAGGATGAAATAATTTGGACAAGTTTTTAATGCAGGCTAGAGCTTATTCATTATGTAAAATATTTTAGCTTGCAAAACTTGTGGCTGGAAGTCAAATGCATGTCCTGACAAACGCTTGGTAATGTCCCTTTCTTTTTGCAATCCCAGGCAGGCAGCAAACAGGAAATTGATTGAAATTCTGGCAACTCTGGATTGAATTCAGACTAAGGGTGGGTAGTTTCGTTGGTAGAGCCAGACACACTGCTACAGCTTAAGGAATAGTTTCATCCCTTTTGTGAATGAATCATTCATTTTCATAAATGAAAGATGGATAAACTATTCATCAGCTAAGCCAACCTGGCCTTCTTTAAAATCTGTGGGATTACAACTCCCATCATTCTCAGCCGGTGTGCTTAGATTGGGCTAAGCATACTTTACTGCCTTAAGTAAACTTTCCTGAAAGGAAGCTGCAATGCAAGGGAAAGGATAATGTATAACCCCTATATAGAGTTTAGCATTTAGATAAAATAGGTCAAGTATTCAAAGGTGCCAGGAGTTATTATGGCAGTCTTCAACATCCTTGGAAGTTGGCCAGAAATAAAATTTGGGTTTTAAAAATGATTAACCCATCTATGTGACTTTGAACCTTGAAAAGGTGAACAGTAAGTAAGTATTATTAGTATTTCTACTATTTTCTGGTTAAGAAATACCCAGCCTTGGGTGTTTTCACATCAGAAGAAAAAGAAAAAGTCTCTTTGTAGATGTTAGTGGGATAGATGGCACATCACCTGTAGTCTGCATTCAGTGCATACTTTTCTTTCCATAGATCAGCCTTGCCCAGGCTAGGATCCCACCAATCTCTGGGTCTACAATTTAATTGTACTGCTGTGCTGGTGCTGGATGGCAAAAGTCTGTCCATCTGGAGTGCGTCATGTTGGAGAAGGGATCATTTTTTTAGCTGTACCTAAACAGAAGATTTTCAGTGTAGCATGGATTTAGAGATGGGCATAGCTTTTATTCTGTTTTGTTTTTTCTGGGTTAATGTATTAATGGGGAAAAACAGTAACAAATTACAGTCCCTTGCCTTAGATTGGTCTGGGGCTCTTATTTCAAAACGAAGCTTAGGGCTGAAGACAGAAGTCAAGATCAGTGCCTCTCTCCCCTCCAGCTGCCTGTTGCATTATGGGAAACCTTAACTTTTTACTAATACAGAGGGGTTCAGTTTTAGAATGAAAGCAGTTGGACCCTTCTCCGGGAAAACTGGCATGCCCCGAGCAAAGAAAATACAACGGTATTCTGAAGACGGATGTTTGGCAGCTTAAATTCTGTCATGTATAAGCTTTATCCATGAAGTAGAAAGGCAGTTTATTTGGGACCTGCATCTATTGAAGTTTAGGCAGAATAGTTCCCTTGTGGATTCGCCCACGTAAGGCTTTTAGGCATATCTTCACCTCCCCTTTCGGTCTGTAATCAAATCAAAAGCGCAGTTAGGATAAGACTTTCTCCTGGTGTCTCGGATGGCTGCTTGAGGCAGGGCCTACATTGCACTGAGCTGCTTTTATTTTATAGCACGCTCTGCCCTGTTTCCAGTGGAAGGCCCATTCCTTTTTCAAATAATGTCATTGCCCCTTTCTCTTTTCCCTCTCTCCCCTCCCCCCTTGCTTTCAGACAACCGTTTCCTGGGATGGAGATCAGCTGGTGTGCGAACAGCGAGGAGAGAAACCAAATCGGGGCTGGAGGCACTGGTTAGAAGGGGATAAACTGCATCTGGTAAGGGGAGGGGGTCCCTAATTGATTTCCCTACTTCCGCCCCCAGAGGACATGTTTGCAAAACCCCAGAATGGCGCTTCTTCCCCACTCCCAGCTTTGAAAAGCCACAGCTCTGTTGGTCGTTGGCCAGCTCCTGCGTGCTTTCTCCCGGAGGCAACGGCCTCTTGACAAAAACATCCTTCCCAAGAGTTCAAAAGTTGACTTGGCTGAGCTCAGAGGGAGCCACCCATTGTCCGCACTCTTCTTTGAAATTTGACCACCGCTCCTGGGGCACCAGGGAGGAAATCCAAGCACAGCATCCCTGTGTGGGACATTCAGAATCCTGGTCTTGGGGCTAGCACGCAACATGCATTTTTGCAGACGCCCCCAGGTAAGCTGTTCCAATGGCATGTTTTGCAGAGATGGGCTTTACGCATCTTCCTGAGCTGTGAACTGTCTGCAGTTCACGGCCTTTCCTTCTAGCACAGGCTGCTGTGTCAAATATGTAGGGAATGCTGACATTGGGGCTGAATAATTACTCCAAAACCTGGGAAAAACTGAATGGCAATGATTGTATGGAAAGAAAGTGCATTGCTGTGCTATTCTGAGACACAGCCCTGTCCTACTGAAAAATGGGGCACACATTTCCGGCTAGTATAAAATGCCTTGAAGTCAGGGGCAGTTTAACCAGATGATAATGAGAGGAAACAGGCCCTTGATAATATAACATGAACATCCCCTCCCCCCAAAAACCGATCTTAAGCATACTATACTTAAAATATGCAAAGAAATTCTTTTGCATTTTTAAATAATAACTTTTACACTAAGCATACTGTAATTTACAATAATACTAACTTAACTTAATTGTGAAGCCACCGCTTTAATAATGGAATATTAGACTAATAATAAGACTACTGAATTAGGCATTCGGTCTCATCCCAAACCATACGGATAGAATCCCCTATCTACAACTCTTCCATGTTCTTCAGCTCACTGGTACTCCTTAAAAGCATATCGTTATAAAACGTGAAATAAATCTCTTCCTGTAGTACAGTGCAAATCATACATTCTGAAAGATAAACAGTAAAGTACTTAAGAACATGACGCAGAGGGACAAACCCACCTCAAGAGTTTTCCTTTGGAACGAAGATGAATGGCCATGATTACTCTTACAGAACTTCTCTTTTCTTCAATGTACAGTGGTACCTGCTGTACGAACTTAATTTGTCCCGCGACTCTGGTCGCGCCCCGAATTGGTCGCGACCCGAATTGGTCGCGCCCCGAATCAAATTTTCCCATAAGGTTCAATGTAAATACGGTTAATCCGTTCTGAACCATA